GCCGGGCAAGTGACCCCAGGCCACCCTGGTAGCCTAGTCCGAAAATTAAAATTGGTTTCCTATGGTTTTATCTTTAAATTGGTGAATGTCATCACAGCAGTGAAATGACCTGACCCACCTGGAGATGTTGACGGGTGATAAAATACTTTTTCTGCTGAGATGGTCTTCATTCACAGCACGAGACTCACAGCAATCGGTGACCACAGAGGGTCAGGCTATTGACCAACCAATTTAAACCGCCACCTCTCTCCAACTCTAAATTGTTGAACCTTTCTTAAACCACCAGTACTTGGGCGACGCCTTAGCGTTAACGCTACGGGAATTTCGCTACCGGCAGGCCGTCGATAAATCGTATCGACAGCCCGCGCGGCTTCAAAAAAGGTGCGGCCGGCGCGTCGCGCAGTGCCCAAGTACTGGTGGTTTAAACCACCAGTACATGACCCCAGGCAACTGGAGAACCTATTTCCAGCCTCTCCAAAAATTTAGGAGGCCAAGTGCCGTAGATAAAATGAATCGGTGGCTGGCAGCCTCCAAGAGAGGCCTGCGACCGATAGCTGGCATGTACTAGTGCTTTAAACCCAACTTTGGATCTGTGAACGGTAGCCACATTTGGCCCACCGATCCATTCCATGACCTACCGCCATCACCAAAGAAGCCAAACATTCATGTCAGAGTCCAATATACAATGCTTGGCGATTATCATCAACGGCCGTGATCTGATACCTTCAGCAGTCTGATTGGAGGTGACACAGCCCACAGCCCGTCCTGGAATGCATGTATTCTGAGGGGGATAACTCGGCCTTTTCAACTACCCTTCATCATCATTACGCCGACAGAGAGCGTCCTTGCCTCCTGAACATTTCATCTGCATGATCAGATGGTGCAAATTCATTCCTTTTTTTTTCTTTTCTACTAATTTTCTTTCCTTCTTCCTGTCATCCCCCCCCCACCAACAATCGTTAGGCCCTAACCTTATTGTATCTCACGGCTCTCCAGATCCAAACTCCTGACCTGTTCATTGAGGGTTGCATGTATGTACCATTCAGCAAAATGGGCTAGGTGCGCATTCATTCTTCTAAGGTCCTGTCAGAATCAATTCCCTTCCTGTACAGAAACTTGAACGCATTTCCATGAGACAATGCGCTCTCGGTTTTCTTCTTGAACATGACCCAGAAAACCTCGAAGACACCATGGCCAGGATTCCATGCACCAGTGTGACCATGGGATTTCATCGTCAGTACTCACTGCTGCATCTGACACTGCAGATGGCACAGGTGCAGACACTCCCTCTTTTTCATCTGCAGCGGAGAGCTACTGTGCTAGAGTGAAGGAGAAAATATATCGAATAAAGATTGCCCCAAGGGGGGGGGGGAGGGGAGGTGAGGGGCGTCCTTACTAACACCCGATACAACTGGAATGCGTACAAAGAAGATGGGCATGGCTGCTGCACAAGGATGACAAACGCAAGTCAAGAAATCGAGGGCCATTTGGCAAATTATCATTAAATCAATTTAAATAAATGTAACGACCTGCAAAATCACAGGCCCAAAGGCATGTTTTTTTCTGAGTTCCACCGCTGGACTGAGTGACTTGCTAAGATTCCTGTTTTCTGCTGAGTTTCCAAGTACGTGTGTCGTCATATTCGCTATACACAACTCCACAGAGAAAAGCATGACTGTGCCAGACTGTTTCGTGTGTGTGCATGATTGCAGAGTTTCCCTGTGTTTGCCTGACTGCATGATTGCTTGGGTGTGTGTGTGACCTGCTAAGGGTACTTGTACTGAGAAGGCCCACGGGCCCGGTACTTGCCTGTGGCCGTGTTGATGTGCGGTGCAGCGCGGAATTAGAAGTAGGCTTGGCCCACACAGGTTGGAAAACACTCAAGTAGCGGTAAGTAGGCAGAAAAGGGAAAAGGTAGTACCTTTATAGATGCCGACTTGAATTTTAGAAGTCCTGTAGGCTTACAGGGACCAGTCCAGCAGTCTATCTGGGGACTGCAAAGTCAGCAATGATGTTCCCCCTCCAACTCCTGGTGGTACGGGACAACTTAAGAGGCAGCGCAGCCTCGAAGCAAACGCGCGAAGGGGCAATACTCTGGTATATCTTCGGTGGAGGCAAGAGGCTCAGCCTCATTTACTTGCGTGCAGTTTCGAGTCACGCTGCTGGAGCGGGCACCCAGCTGAAGCAATGCTGGGTGAGGAAGAAGGCGACCTTGGCCTTCCACCTTGGCTACGGTGGAGAGGTCCGAGGAGGGGACTCCGGGGGAGTAGGAGTCGGACGAGGAAGACGGTGAGCAAGAAGGAGAGTGAGTGACGGAGGAGCTTACCTGGCTATGGTGGTCTGCATTTTCATCTTCATCTTCTCTGTTGGCGCTGCACCTGGAAGGCCCCAGGCGCTGTTGGCACCTACAAGGAAGACTCCAGGGGTAGTGATAGGCATGGCAGCCATAGCAAGCGGGGCATGGTAGCTTTGCATTGTCCTTCGAACCTTGGAGCTTCACTCCGATAATCCGCCATAGCTAGCTGCTCGACTCAGTAGGAGAAGGATGTATGAGATGGCTATGATGCACCTCTTGAGTGGCTGGCAGTAAGAGGATTCTGACATTGATTCTGGTTCATTCTTTCATTGTTATTTTTATTATTATTATCAGTGTTAACAACCACAGTGCACCACTATCTTTCCCGCTGTTAGGAAAACGGGAAAATGTCCTACGCCAAAAAATCGGAGGCCGGCCCTGACGACGACCGCAGTTGATAAAGATCATCGGTGGCTGTCGTTTCGTTTCGACCTCCTAAAGATCGGGGGCCCGACGACGGCCCACATGGGAAAAGGTAGTGGTGGTTTAAGAAGAAGTTGGGGGAGTTATTGGAGGTTGAAGAAGGTGCCAACTTGGCAAGGTGAAGGGGAATTGACATTGGCACTTGCTGGTGTTCATCATCATCTTCTTCTACTTCCATACTTCTTCTTCTTCCTTTGTCTATTTCTCTTTCCAAGTCCTTTCATTTCAGTTGCAACTGAAAGGCATTGCCTTTCTTTGAGTTGTTGCACTGCAAGATATAGTCAGGATCATAACATAAAAAAAAAAAAGGGGGTAACAATTGCTGATGAGCAGCGGAATGAGCCATCTCCACATGCGTGCTTTCAAAGGTATGTTTTTTCTTCCCTTTTTCCCTTTTTTTTTCCTTTCAAAGGGCGACGGCCTTAAGTGTCCACCAAACCGTGCAAGCTGTCGTACATCACATGGCTTTCCAACTTGAGTAATGAATAACCTCATGCATGATGGATGACTCCAATCAGGAAGTTGCCTGATATCATACAGTTACGAGTCTGGCGAGTCTCTTCAAGTGTCTCCAACCACTCTAGCCAGACCTTTCTGCTCGAGCGAGCCTCTACGAAGATATCATCATTGAACTGACTGGTCCTCAGTAATTCAGAATTACTTTATGCTGTTCACCTGATTCCATCTGGATTCGAACTCGCATTTGTGTTTCAACAGTTCATTGGGTGTACCTACTGCGCTATGGTCGTTGGCACCTTCAATGGTATGTTAAAGTTAACAAGCTGCCATTGTTTATACTTTCTCACAGCTTGCAGTATCGGTTATCCTCAACAGCCCCCACCCGATGGACTCTGTCTCGTTCTCTCTCTCTCTCTCTCTCTCTCTCTCTCTCTCTCTCTCTCTCTCTCTCTCTCTCTCTCTCTCTCTCGTTCTTAAGGTCTGAAGGTAAACATATGCTTGTAATAATGGGCGTAGGCTTCCAAAACATAAACCTGGCATAAACCTGGACGTACGTTACTGGGTTCTGTATCTGGACCAAACTCAGCTTTAGTTACGTTGGCTCGATTCCAGATTGGCCATAAGGGGGAAGCCCGCTACACGCCGGATGTGAAGTGTGTGCAGTGTGCACCCAGCTCAGCCAATTTGACAATTTGTCCTTCATTTTTTTTAGGGAGAATGTTGGGTTCCGGGTTTTCCAGTCATTGTATTGGAACAGGCCATCTTTCGATTTCTGACTGGTTTCCTGCTCAGACATCCGTCCACCTAGTTCTTTTTTTTTTATTTTAACGCCAGGTTATTGATCACACAGCTGCCTCATCGTCATCGTCATCATCATCATCAATCAATCAATCAATCAATCAATCAACCAATCAATCAATCAACCAATCAATCATCGATCAATCAATCACCAATCAATCACCAATCAAATCACCAATCAAATCACCAATCAATCATCAATCAATCATCATCACCATTTAGTATTGTTCTGGTTGAAGCAATGCCATCCAGAGTAAATGCGCCGTTTGATTACAAACAAACCATTCATTTTGACATTTTCTGCATTTTCGCGCCTCTTCCTTTTTCTTCCACCCAAACAAACATTTCTTGATTTGCCTGTGTATATCCTAATGCAGACACCTTGCTTCGCTTCTCTATGTCAAAAATTTCCCATTTAAACCTCTCTTTATATTTCATTCTCTCGTGTACCTTGTTATTCCCACCCACTTTCTTATTCTCCGTTCTCTCTTCTAATGACAATTACAGTTCCTTGCTGGCAATCGCATCGGAGGGATTTCATCCTGTCGCTCTTTGATTGGCGTAGAGAGGGAGACATGTCGTCAGCTGGTCAACTACCGTCTTCACCCAAATAGAACGCCCGGTCATTACAGCTGTATCTAGACTGAAAATTGCACCAAATACAGCTATAATGACCGGGCGTTCTATTCGGGTGAAGTCGGAAGCCATCCCGAAATGAATCCTCAGCCACTCAAGTATGTGCCAGCTTGAATGCTGCAGACAATAAGTGGAGTGAGACACACACAGATCAACGATGGATGGTGAAACGGCAGGCTGAACATCACTCCTTTGCACCCAATTAAACTGATGGGCAGAAAGATAGGCGGGCAAATTGGGGAAGAGAGAGATAGATTTGGATCGACTTGTAAAGGTATGCAGAGAGTCGTTGACAGAGACATCACAAGCGTGCAATGCCAACTGGAACGAGTCAAAATTGGTCCTTCCAAGGGGTCAGAATTGGCCCTCCCGAGGGGCCAAATCTGGTCCTCTTAAGAGGTCCAAATTGGTCCCCTCTTAAGCCACCACTCCATCCAGAATCTATTTTGACAAACCCAAAGTTGCTTATCCGCGAGCCTAAAATCTACAGTGCCTCCGTGAGGAAAAGCAATTGTGGTACACTGCCCCACCAAACCTCTACCGGGCCTGGGCACTGTACATTTTACCCCGGTACTCGTAGACGACAAACATGAAAGGAGTACAGGGGCTGTTGGAGTGGTGGTTTAAGGGGTGCCAATTGGTCCTCTTAAGGGCTCAAATTGGTCCTCTAAAAGGGTCAAATTGGTCCTCTTAAAGGCTCAAATTGGTCCTCTAAAAGGCTCAAATTGGTCCTCGTAAATGCTCAAATTGGTCCTCTTTAGTGGTCAAAATTGCTCCTTCCGTGGGGGGCAGATAGGGAGGGTAACATAACAACAATGTAGTAATGTACCGCAATTGGTTTCGGAAGGAATCAGCGCCACGCTCTTACAAAAAAAAACTCAAAGCATCCCATGCTGCTCCAGATCCTTCGCAAACTCGTCATCGGTCCGGAAACCGCCACAGACATTGCACTCCATAACTCCCGATGGTTCGTATTGCCGCCTGTCCACAGAGAAGATCCCTGGCAATGGGGCCATAGTCCCTCGACAGCCCTCCTGAGGGCAGAGGTATTTCACAAAGAACATCGCATGCGGGAAATCGTCTTCAGCATCCTCAGCCTCATCGTCATCCCTATCACCTCCTCCTCCTCCTCCTCCTCCTCCTCCTCCTCCTCCTACTGCTTCACTGTCATCAGCACCATCATTGAACACCTCCTCCTCTTCTGTTCCCTGCTTCATCCCATTCGCCCTTCCCCCTGCGTCATCATGACCTTCCTCCTTTTGTTTTCCAGTTCCTCTTGCGTCATACTGTCCACACCCTTCATCGTCCCTCGACGGCATCCCTTTGCCACTCGCTGCCACTTCCTGCTCTTCTTCTTCTTCTTCTTCTTCTTCTGCATCACTCCACGTACATTCCAAATGGCAGCGGGCGCAGCTGCATTCGAACCCGTACTCTTCTCGCAACCGATCTTGCCTCTCCTTGTAAGTCCAGTTGATTGGGAAATAACTGATAGTGATCTCCGTTCCCTCTGGAATATCATGCATGGCCCGAAGGATAATGTCCTTGTTTCCGTCCCCATTCTGCTTATCCAAGTAGTCAAACCTGCAGCCATAGACAAACCAACCAACAAGTCAGACAGACCAATTAATCAATGACTCGGAAGAAAAAAAACAATCAACCAATGACTTGAACAGACCAATCAATCAGCGACTAAGACAGACCAATCAATCGACGACTCAGACAGACCCATCAATCGACGACTCAGAGAGACCAATCAATGGCTCACAGAGACAGACTAATCAGTGCCTCAATCAGACAGACCAGTTAATGCCTCAGACAGACCCATCAATCAATGACTCACACAGA